TCCTCCATTGTGTTCTCATTGTCATTGACATCACTAATCCCAACACCTTGCAAAGCTATTATTATAGAAAATAAATTTAAAAAGTTAGTCAAGTAATATATAAGTATAACATAATTAATGTCAAAATAGAACACATTACATTAGAGTACCTTCTTCTATTTTTGCAATGTCTTCTATTAGGCTCTCTTCAAGGGACTTGGTCCACTTGGACTTCTTTTTTCTCAACCAATCTTGAGCACATATAAGAGTCTCCACAACTTTAGGAGTTAAAGAACTCCTATAATCATCAAGAACACGACCGCCGGTGCTAAAAGCGGACTCCGATGCCACGGTAGAGACGGGAATCGCCAATACATCCCGTGCAAAACAAGAGAGGATGGGAAATCTACTTTGGTTGAGTTTCCACCACTTCAAAATGTCAAAATCATCTTTCTCGACAACAAGAACACTCTCTTTCAAGTAAACATCCAAGTCACACTTACTTTCTACTTCTCCACTCTCTATCTTGTGCCTTTTGAACTTATCTCCCAAGTGATATCTTGATTTATTCTTTGAAAGATCGAGATGAGAAGATTCATTTAAACTTGAAACTCGATTCATCGATTGTGTGGACGTGGCACAATGAGGTTGATAAATCAACTTATAAGCTTCAAACAACTCGTGAACACTCCCCTTCACACTCTTGAAGATCTCCGAACCGTTCTTTTCTCCGTGCTATTCACAAAGCGCGTACTCAAGGAACTCCAACTTGTAGCGAGGATCAACAAAAACCGCCACATAAATAAGATGGTTCATATTTTTTGGATCCCCCCAATATTTATTGTATTTGGATTTCATTTTTTCACCCATTGCTTTGATATCAAGATCATCACTAGCAATCCATTCTCTTAACAAACAATTCACCGAACTAATTTCATGATAAAATTCATTCGAGGTGACATAAGATGTGCCCGAAATCCTCAATGTTAGCTCGTAGAAGTGGGATAAAATATCAACCATCCTTCTAGCATGCTCCCAATCAACAAATGACGGTGGTCCATGCTTGAGCTCTAGTTTAAAGTAAGGATCTTTGATTTCATACCTCTCAAATGCCCTCTCAAACTTTTGTGCAACATTTAACATCAAGTAAGTGGAGTTCCACCTAGTGCTCACATCTAAGCATAACAAGCTTTTACTTAAAATACCTTCATCATCACAACATTCTCGAAATTTTGCCAATCTAGCCGGAGATTGTTTCACAAATCGAACCGCATGACGAATCTTCTTAATGGAATACTTGATCTCATTTATACCGTCCACTACTACCAAATTGATAATATGAGCAATGCACCTCATATGAAGAAACTTGCCTTTCACAAAAGCACAACACCGAGAAGTCAATCTACTTTTCAAATATGTAAGACAAGTATCATTAGAAGATACATTATCGACGGAATAGAAAACACCTTTGAGATTCCCCAATCACGCAAACAACCGTCTATTTGCCTTCCTAAATCCTCACCCTTGTGACTCTCAATGGGACAAAAGTTGATAATCTTTTTATTTAAGTTCCATTCTTCATCAATGAAGTGAGCAGTGATACACATATAGTTAATCTTTTGCACGGAAGTCCAAGTATCGGTGGTAATAGAAATAGTTTTTCCAGACCTTTTAAAGTAATTTCTTAATTTTAACTTCTCATCTAGGTATAACTGATAACAATCTCGTGACACAGTCCAACGAGAGGGAATTTTAAACCTAGGTTGTGCAACCGACATGAAGTTTTTGAATCCATCACCATCCACAAACCGAAATGGAAGCTCATCAACAATGACCATTCTAGCTAGTTGTGACCTAATGGCTTCTTTATTAAATTTCCAACTAATTAAACCCCCTGCCATTTCACCATCCTCAGCTATTGAATGCAAAACCAATTTCGATTGTTTTTTCTCGGTCACATCCGGATTAGCCTTACAAACAGACATATGGTGAAGAAGTGAAGACGTACCATTCCTTCGAGTATCACATTTGTACAGTTTTTCGCAATGTTTGCATTTGGCTCTGGATATACCGTCGACTACCAACTGTTCGAAGTGCTGCCAAACTATGGACCTTCTCGAAGTACCACCGTCCCCTGCAATCCCGGGACCAACAGTAGCAGCAGCTGCCTCACTTGAACTCCCTGGACGGCTTCTGTTTAATTTTGAGGTCTGAGTCCGACTTGCAGCAGATTCATCGTTCGTCTATGGAGATGGACCAGATGGTGGACCTCCTGTTGGTGAATCTTCCGCCATCTCATCAACAACAAATTTCTGAACAAAAAGAAACCGCAGTAAGTACTATGTATTTCGCATTTTCACTGACAATTTTATACAAAAAATAATAATAATAAAAAAGAAAAATAAAAATTTGGTCTGAAATTAGGGCAAAAAAATTATTGTTTCAACTTTCACCTTTCCAGATTGAAGATTTTCAGACCAGGTGATGGATTTTCGGATCCAATTCTGAAAGAATATGAAGAAATGAGAAACGAAAATAAGAAGACAGAGAGTGAGATTGACCTTGAAGAGCGAACGTCGGACTACCGGTGGGTAGAGAGCGCCGGAAGATAGGTGTTGATCGGGAGTGAGATTGAGAGACTGAGTGAGAGGTGACTAAATGAACGGCGGATTTGAGTCTGAGGGCACGGAGAACGGCGAATTTGAGTCTGAGAAGTGAGAGCACAGACAGAGACTGAAAACTGAGTGTAAATTAGGTTTTAGTTTAGGTTACAAAAATCGTGAAAAGAAATCGTGTAGCAAAAATCGTGTAATAAAAATCGTAAGATGCCTGCAGCCTGTATGTAATGTAATAAAAGTAACATATTTTCGGTGCGGTTCGGTTAAAACCGCACCCATCGGACGGGAAATCGAACCGCACCGAATTTTTTTCGGTTTTATGAAAATGTAACCGAACCGTAACCAAACTTTAAAAAAACCACACCGAACCGCACCGAACACACCGGTTCGGTGCGGTTTTTCGGTTTCGGCTCGGTTTTGCTCACCCCTAATCTTGAGAGACATGAGGTGTGAGTAAGTCTGGGAAACAGAAAAGCAACCCTTTGTATTCAAACCCCAATATAATCTATCATTTCTGCTAGGGAATAGAGAAGATATGTTCAAGATTGCATTGCTATCAACATCATCAAAAACTTGCCTCACCAACCAGTCATTCCAGTGAGTGCCTTCATCATTCAGTAAATCTTTAACCCAGATCAAGTGATCTCTAGCAATAGGAATGAGAGAGGGGTTGGATCTACTATGATTAGGAATCCAGTTCAGATCAGATATTCTGGTGTTCATGCCATTTCTGATTTCAATTTTTAACCATTTAGCAAAGAAAGGTATGTTGTGCATCCAACAGTTCCACATCCATGATCCATTGGGATTTCTAGAGGCATTAACCAGAGAAGAGTTAGGGTATTACCTGTCCTTGAGGATTCTGCTTACTAGAAGCTCTGGATTTGAGGCAATCCTCCACAACTGTTTACAGATCATTGCTTTATTGAATAGCTGGAGGTCAAGGAAGGACAAACCACCATTCTCTTTAGGGAGGGAGAGGAAATTCCAATTTCTCCAATGGATTCCCTTAGCCTGATCAATTCCAGATTTCCACCAAAACTTTGCACATAAACTTGTAATTTCAGAGCAGATTGACACTGGCAGGGTGAAACAAGCCATTGTGTAGACTGGAAGAGATTGGATAATAGCTTTGAGAAGGACTTCCTTGCCAGCAGGGCTAAGAAGCTGAGATTTCCAAGAGGTAAGCTTAGCTCTGACTGAGTTCACTAAATAAGCAAAAACTTCCTTTTTGGACCTGTCAATCCCCAGTGGCAATCCCAAGTATTTAGTTGACCTGTGAGAAGCAATATTGTTCAAGGAGCTGCAGATTGATCTTTGAAGGTGGAGGGGTGTATTTCTACTGAAAAATACAGCAGATTTTTGGAGATTAATAGCTTGACCAGAGAAAAGTTTGTATTGCTCCAGAATGTTCATAAGAAACCCAGCTTGGTCAATCCCAGCTTTAAGGAAAAACAAAGAGTCATCTGCAAAATGAATATGAGACAACACAGGCCCATTTCTGGAAAGTTTCATCCCTTTAAGCATACCAGAGGAGATTGAGTTTTGAATGAGAGCAGTAAGCAATTCAGTGACAATAAGAAAGAGGAAGGGGATAGAGGATCCCCCTGCCTAATTCCCCTAGAAGGTAAAACATAACCACGGATGCTTCTATTAATCTTGAAAGAAAAGGAGGCAGGAGTAACACAGATCATAACAAGCTTCACAAAATCACTATGGAATCCCATTTGAAGCATAATTTTCTTTAAGCAAAGACATTCAACTCGGTCAAAAGCTTTAATAAGATCTAACTTGAGGGCCATGAAAGAATTAGGACCAGAGGAGTGCCTGTTCAGGAAGTGGAATGCTTCTTGGGCAATTATCACATTGTCAGTAATGTGTCTACCCTCAAGAAAAGCAGCCTGATGCTCACTGATGCAATGTGGCAAGCAGGCCTTGAGTCTCTGAGCTAAGATTTTGGATATGAGCTTGTAGACTACACTACAAAGACTTATTGGTCTGAATTGACTCAAATTATCCGGGTGGTGACATTTGGGAATAAGGGATAGAACAGTGTGATTCCAATATTTGAGGATAGTACCTGTTTGGAAGAAACTGTGGACTGCCTTCATAAGATCAGATTTGATTAAGCTCCAGAAGTGTTGATAAAAGGCAGCTGTCATTCCATCTTCACCAGGTGATTTATCAGGCTGAAAACTGAACAAAGATTGTTTGACTTCATCTTCATCAACAGGTTTGAGGAGGGCAGTGTTCATGTCTTGAGTTATGGCCTCTGGAATTAGGTGGAGAATGGATTCCCCACCCCAGCTGCCCTCAGTAGAGAAGAGATTAGTATAGAATTCAGAGATATGGGACTCAATCTCAGTCTGAGAGAAGTAGACTCTGCCTTGGTTTGAAATGAGTCTGGTTATTGCATTGAGTTTTCTTCTCTGGAGAGTATAGGCATGAAAGAATTTGGTGTTGGCATCCCCTTCTTTTAACCATTTGTACTTAGCTTTTTGCTGCCAGTGGAGTTCCTCCAGAGAGTGTGCCTTGTTTAGCTTTCTTTTTGTCTCTTCCCAGATTTCCCAGTTTGTCCCCTTGTCATAAGTATTGAGATCTTCCATTCTCTGAGTAAGTTCAGATATTTCTTTCTGCCTTGTGGATTGAAAAGAAGAACTCCATATGAGGATAGCAATCCTGGTATTCTTGACCCTCTCCTTAAGCTGAAAAAAAGGGGTACCAGTGACTGGGGATTTCCAAGCAGCAGTAACTATATCATTAAAGCCATCCATGCTTAACCATCTTTTATCAAAGTGAAAGGGGGCCTTTCTTTTCATTTGAGGAAGTCCCAAGCTCAAGAGAAGAGCAGAATGGTCAGAAGAACTTCTGGGGGTATTGGATACAGCTGCATTGGGGTAAGAATGAGACCAGTCAAGAGAGCCAAAGGCTCTGTCCAGCTTTTCTTCAACCAGAGCAGGAGGAGCTCTGTTGTTACTCCATGTAAAAGCATAGCCATTTGATTGAACTTCCAGCATGTCCATTTCAGATACAAAAGAGTTAAAACCCAAAAGGCTAAGGGTTGGTCTGTTGGTTCTACCTGATTTCACTGAGTTTGAGAGGATGTCATTCCAGTCTCCAATGGAGAACCAAAGAGATCCCCATTTCTGTTTAGCTGCCAACATTTCTTCCCTCTGTGTCTCTCTGATTACTTTGCAGGGACTAAGATAGACAAAAATTCCCCATTGGAGGGGGTGGGGTTGCAGCTGGAATTCAACAGCAATAAAATGTTTTTCACAGATAATTTGACTAATGACTATGTGAGTATCCCACATCAAAACAAGCCCTGCACAGAGGCCTATTGGGTCAACTATAGCAACCCTATTATCAAAACCTAACTTTTTACAAACCGAATTAACAAAAGCAGATTGTTTTTTAGTTTCTGAGAGGAAGATAAAATTTGGATGGTGAGCTTTCTTGAGCTCTCTGATTTGGGAAATTGTAGAGGGCCCACCCAGCCCTCTACAATTCCACACCAGAGCTAACATTTATCCTAGTGGTGCCATTCAAGGCTGGCAACCCCCACCATTTCCGGATTAGCTTTTTGCTTTTCAGATTGAACCTGCTTATGAGTGTTGGAGTCCTCTGAGTGGTCTGTTGGCTCCAAGACTTGTCTGTCTCTCTTTCTATTAAAGCTGGTCAATAATAATAGGAGCTTCATTGGTTCTGAGAAGCCTGCCCATCCTTGTGCCTGATCTT